AGAAAAATCAGAACTAACATTATTAAAATGCTCTAGACCTTATAACTTTCAATGGTTGAACGAATGTGGAGAAATTACGATTAATAGGGGGGGTTTTGATAAATTTCTCAATTGAGAGTTATGGTGATGAAGTGGTAAGTGATGTGGTACCTATGCATGCAGGGCATCGGTTGTTGGGAAGACTGTGTCAATACGACAGAAATGTTATTCATGATGGGTACAAGAATCGATACAACTTTGTCAATAGCAGAAGATCCATACCCTTGTACTATTAACACCGGTACAAGTGTATGAAAACCAAATTAGACTGAAAAATGAAGAAGAGAGAAGAGCAAGAGAACTGGAGAAAAAGAGAGAAAATAATGAGATAGTGAGTAAGAGAGAAAAAAGTGAGGTGGTGAGTCGAGAAAAAAATGAGAGAAGCCACAAGAGCAAAAGGAAAAGGAGTCTTCCAAGAGGAGAGAAAAATTGAGAATGAATTTCTTTGCAAAAGAAAGTGAGCTAAGGAGAGTGGCAGTCGAGGAGGGAAATGATTTTGTTGGTCTACAAAGAGCCACTCCTCAATTTTAAGGAAACTAACTCACATCTCCCCAGTTTGGCTAAGTCATTGTTGCAAGAGTTTGAGGATGTATTCCAGGAGGTCATGCCTAGTGGATTGCCCCCCATTCGAGGCATTGAGCACCAAATCGACTTCATATCTAGAGCTGTCATTCAAAATTGACCAGCTTACCGGAGTAATCCCAAGGAAATAAAAGAGATTCAGAGGTAAGTGAAGGAGTTGATGAGCAAAGCTTATGTTAGGAATAGCATGAGTCCGTGCTCCGTGCCAGTACTATTGGTGCCAAAGAAAGCTGGGACATGAAGGATATGCGTGGATTGCAGAGCCATCAATAATATAACGGTAAAGTATCGTCACTCTATCCCTAGGTTAGACAACATGATAGATGAATTACATAGTGCCTGCATTTTTAGTAAAATTGATCTTAAAAGTAGTTACCATTAATTTCGAATGAGGGAAGATGATGAGTGGAAAACAGCATTTATGACCAAATATGGACTATATGAGTGGTTGGTAATGCCTTTCGGACTTACTAATGCACCGAGCGCTTTCATGCGTTTTGCATACTTTTATAGGAAAATTTGATGTAGTTTATTTTGATGACATTCTAGTGTATAGCAAAAACCTAAAGGAGCATGTAGAGCATTTAAAAAGTGTGCTAGTGGTGTTAAGGAAAGAACAACTCTACACTAATTTTAAGAAAATGTACTTTTTGCATAAAAAATGTTGTCTTTCTAGATTTTATGGTTAGTGATAATGGGGTAAAGGTAGATGAGGAGAAGATAAAAAACTATTAAAGATTGGCCTACACCTAAGTGTATAACTGAAGTAAGGAGCTTTCATGGGTTGACTAGTTTTTATAGGCGGTTTGTAAAGGACTTTAGCACAATCACTATATCACTCACAAAAGTAATAAAGAAGAGCGTAGATTTTTATTGGGGTGATGAACAGGAACATTTATTTAACACTATTAAGGAAAAATTGTGTAAAACACCTGTTTTAGCATTACCGAATTTTGACAAAATATTTGAGATTGAATGTGATGCATCGAGAATAGGCACTGGAACAGTGTTAATGCAGGAAAAGAGGCCTATAGCTTATTTCAGTGAGAAACTGAGTGGGACTGCACTAAAGTACCCGACATATGACAAGGAACTATACTTACTTGTTCGGACGTTGGAGACATAGCAGCATTATTTATGACCTAAGGAGTTCGTGATTAAAGCACTTGCGGGGACAAGGAAAGCTAAACAAGAGGCATGTCAAGTGGATGTAGTTCATTATTACATTTTCCTACATCATTCAGTACAAGCAAGGTAAAGAAAACGTAGTGGCAGATGCTTTATCTCGAAGGTACGCGTTGTTAAATTCACTAAGCACTAAATTGCTTGACTTTGAATATGCTAAGGGTACGTATGAAAATGACTTGGACTTTTTTCGAAATTTACAAATCATGTGATAAGGGGGTTGTACATATGTTTTATAAGCGTGAGAGGTATTTGTTTTGGGAAAATAAGTTATGTATTCATAATTGTTCAATGCGATATTTACTAGTGAGGGAAGCACATGATGGTGGATTGGTGGGGTACTTTGGGGTACAAAAGACTTTAGAGATGTTAGGGGAGCATTTCTATTGGCCTAAGATGAAAAGTGAAGTTGAGAGAATTCGTAGTCAATGCATAAATTACAAGAAGGCTAAGTTTAGAGTTTTACCCCCAGGGACTTTATAAGCCATTACCTACACCTAGTGAACCATAGGTCGAATTTCAATGGATTTTGTTTTGGGTTTATCTAGAACTAAGAAGGGACATGATTCAATCTTTATGGTAGTAGATAGGTTTAGTAAGATAGCGCACTTTATACCAAGTCACAAAACAGAAGATGCACACAAATAGCAGATTTGTTCTTTAAAGAGGTAGTACGTCTGCATGGGGGTCTCCAAGAGCATAGTGTCAGATAGAGATGTAAAGTTTTTGAGTCATTTTTGACGGGTTTTGTGGGGTAAGTTGGATACTAAATTGTTGTTTTTCATAACTTGTCACCCACAAACTAATGGACAACCTAAGATAGTTAATAATTATTGCGTATAAAAATTTGAAAGGTTGGGAGGAGTATTAGCCTTTTGTTGAATCTGCATTTGAAATTGTTTATAGTTTTAATCCACTAACCCCATTGGACTTAATATCGTTACCTATGAATGAACGTAGTAGTTTAGATGGTTAAAGAAAGGCTGAACTAGTAACGTCACTTCATGAAAAGATTAAGTTGCAAATCGAGAACAAGTATAAGCTCGTTGCATCACAGGTAAACAAAGGCAGGAAAAGCGTCACCTTTGAACCAAGTGGCTAGGTATGGGTGCATTTCATAAAGGATCGCTTTTCAAAGCAAAGGAAGTTAAAGTTGCAACTACAAGGAGACGATCCATTTCAAGCTATCGAGAAGATCAATGACTATGCTTACAATCTAGATCTCCTAGGTAAGTATAATGTTTTAGCTACATTTAATGTGTCTGATCTCTTTCTCTTTGATGTAGGTACAGATTCGAGAACGAATCCTTTTGAAGAGGGAGGAGATGATGTGATCCAAGAGTCGAGCCCAACGAAGATAAGGTCAGGACGAGACCTGTTGATTATCAAAGGTGGACCGATGATGCGATCAAGGGCCAAGAGGGTAAAATAAGTGATAAGATTATTTGTTCAAGCAATAATTGATGAAAGATCATTCGTGGCGCAAAGTGGGACAACTTTCATGTTGAGGTCAAGAGTCAAAACACATTGGACCAACTTAATTCAAGACTTGGATTTTGAAGCTGTTGGGGCCAACTATGCGACCGCATAGTTCTGGGAATAGTGCGATCGCATGCACCTATGCAGAGATTTCATTGGCAATTGAAGTTTATTCTATGCGACCACATAGAATTACTCCATGTGGCCACATAGATAAAATTTTGGCAGAAAGTTTTCTTTTTTCGCGAGTTTCCATATTTTATTCGAATTTTAATTTTGGTCAAATTCTTGTAATCTTGGACGATTATTTTCCAATTTCTCATAGGTTTTTAGGGTTTTTGAGATTAGTATAAATATGCTATCTTTCTTACATTGTAGAGGAGATTCCATTTGTCCATCAATTTGAGAGAATTCTTCTTGAGAGGCATTATTGATTTCTTTTCCAATTGTTCTTCATTGAACACCATAGAACTTATCAACAATTAAATTCTTGTGGTGTTCATCAATCCTGGTGCGAGTCTTTGAGTAATCAAGTGGTCCTTCAATTACAATTATTGTGTGGTTGTTTGATTTGTTTTCCTGGGATTCAAACTCACAAACCGGTTAATTGGCTTTCCTGGCTTTTCCTATCAATCTCCTGTGGATTTGTTAGTGTTTGTGTTATTCGGGTTCACGTCAGGTCATGTGCCCTACGTGTACATGGAACGATAATACTTTGAATATGGGACACATATTTGGGGTCATGTGCCCTATGTGTATACGGAAAGATAATACTTTGAATAAAAAAAAGGAAAAATTCCTTTTCTTTAAAGGGATTTGTAAAGCACGCTAAAGGGTAAAAGAAAAATGTTCTTTATCTTTCAACCAACTTATTACATTCTAGTTGGTACCCAAAATAATCAAATCATAATAGCGTGATAAATTTGTGGTATTTCCATCCTATTCCAAAACTTGGCTCTGCTCGTGGTTTAATTCTTTTGAAAACTTAAGTTGAGTAGTTAATACTCAAAAGGAAATAATTAAAGATTAAGTGGTATTTAGGGATGGCAATCGGGCTCGCCGGCTCGGGCCGCCCGAGCCAGCTAGGCTCGGGGCTCGGGTAGACTCGAGCCGAGCCCCATTTTTGGAACACGGGCTTTGCTCGAGCCGGCCCGTGAGCTCGCGACCGAGCCCCATTTTTGAAACACAGGCTTTACCCGAGCCGGCCCGTGAGCTCGTGAGCTTTTTAATAAAAAATAAATAAATTTAAATTTAAGGCTTAAAAGGCAGCAAGCTGCAGCCTTTGCTTGCTGCCTTTTAAGGCAGTTTTGTTGCCTTTAAAAAGCAGCAGTTCGCTGCCTTGCTACCTTTTAAGGCAGCAGATTAGAAGACAGGAAAAAAAAAAAAAAAAGAAGGAGAAAACGAGCCTACCCGGCTCGGCCCGTAAAAAGCCCGAGCAAAAAGCTCGGCCGAGCCTTTTTTTTTTTGACCGAGCTTTTGCTCGGCCTGGCTCGAGCCCGCAAAAAGGCTCAGCCATTTTAATCGGGCCAAACCCGGGCCGAAACTTTAGGCTCGCGAGCCGGCTCGTTTAAAAGTCAAAAGTTACTCCTATGAACATGCACGTCTTTAAAAATTATTTAGTTCTAAGCTTAGAAAAAGGTAAATAAACACTTAATTTTAGTGCGTATATATAGACACACAAAACATACATACACATATTCATAGAGAGTGATTACCAGTTTCATAGACGAGAGTGGATAAGCCAGAGCAACCGGGCCCACCAGAGATCCAAAATATAAGAGGGTCTGTTTTAGGATTATTTTCAGACTCAACGAAATAGTAGAATAGCTGCACTTCATCGTTTTCTCCCACACCAATGTATCTAATCAATCATTCAAACAAAAATTTACAAAGAATTCAGTTTCTTGAATTTAATTTATGTCTGATAACAGAATGAACTCAACACTGCTAAACATGAAAAGAAATTAAATAGTAATGTCTAACGAAATAACGATTGAAAGAACTGACCCGGTTTCAAGTTTAAAGGGCAGAGTACCCGAGTAACCTGGAAGAGTTTTGATGATGGACTGTGATGTTCCAGTGTTGAAGAGTAGCAGAAGAAGAAGTGCGGGCAACCCTATCCAATTCATTTTATTCACAACCATAAATTAATTAAACTGAGGAAAAATACAGTTTAATCTGTTTTCGAAATAGAATATTTAAGGACTGGGATTTGAAATTGATGGCAGAGTTGCTGAAGAACGCGGACAAGTTGGCTGCCTCTTCTGATATTTTTGGTATTTGAATGGACAGAAACCATTCTCGTTACCTAATTAATATTTTGTGACGAAGGTCTTCAAAACCACGTTTTTATCACAAGTTTTTAGGTGCGATACAAGACAACAAAGTCAAATAGACCATTCACGTCACTATCAAATAATTATCACAAAAGCCTTGAAAAAATAAATTTATTATAAGTGATAACAGAAAACCAAGTCAATAATTTTGAATGGTAACTAATATTTTTGTACTCAAATTAAATACAAATTTTAGTACTAAACAACGTATTTTTTTTTTCTTTTCTCTTCTTATGTACCATCTGCATCATTATATAATTTGAAGCTTGCTACAGCAGCAACAGAGGCCATGATAGAGGCCTTGACAGAACACACACATGATGGAAATGTCGGCATTTTTTTATTGACAGAGGAATGTGAGAAGCGGTCATCCCTTAGGTCAAGTATTTTCTGGCAATTCAACAAAATTCATATCATTTAGATATGGCATGCTCAGATTGAGGGGTCCCATATATATATCAATGTGACATTGACTATTTTAGCGATAAAAGATGATAAAACAAAACAATACATTGTCCTGTAGTCAAATAACATATAAGCGAAAAAATCAACTATCAGAAGAATACAGTTATCACATTGGGTTTTGCTCTGTCTCTTGCTTAATCGTAGAAAAGACTCAAGCCTTTCTCTTGTTATTCTTATCTTGCTCCTCATTCTTCCTTTGAGTAAACTCCATACAATTTCGATCCATGAGGCCTTACTTAATAAATGGAAAACAAACATTCTTTCCCATTTGTTGCTCTCCTTTGTGCTACTTGTCACACTCAAGATAGGGTAAAATGGGATTATCCCCCTCCTTGCTAGCATCAGTTTTAGTGTTTGCCTTATTATTTTGCTACTTTTCCTTTTCCTTATCTTCGTTATTTCATTTTCATTTCCTAATCAGATTCTTATTTAACTGACTGATTTGATCCTGATTGTCAGCATTTGTCTTTTGCCCATACTTCTATGTATTAGCCCTTTGATGCCTAAATAGCATGAGCTCATTCCAACATTTTGCCATAGGTAGTGAAACTATGAGACATGATAATTATGCTTATGTCCTGATGAAGCCTTTGCCAAAACATTTTTATGTTAGCTTTAGTGTCCACCATATGTGGATCATGCCTAGTCAATTGATCAAACATTCTCTCATTGTCGATTAAAGACTGCTTCTCTACTTAAATTATAGAAACTCTATCTCCTTGAAGTCTTTGAAAGCCTATGCGAAAAACTTATCCATCTAAAGAAGATCACTTAACCATCTTTAAGGAAATTGTCTTTGATCTAGAGATCATAAAGGTTAAGTACAATGAGGCAAATTTAGGGTTGACTTCATAGTGTTTGTTTCTTCTTCATATATGACTTTCAAATATACTATTTTGGACAATCATGACACTTACCCCGGATAAAATATGTGAGCAATGTTCTCTATGGAAAATATAAAGCAGCTTATGGTTAGATTTGCAGATCAGGCAGAGAGCTTTACCGTTTGTATAAGGACACAAGAAAGGAATTCTGATAGTGATATGAGGAACTGATTGAAATATTTTTTTAAAAAAAAAAAGAAAAAAGAAAAAAAAATATTTAGTTACTACAAGAAAAAAGATCACATCAAATTTGATTGCTAAAAATTGCTGAATAAGAATGAAAGGGCTACTATTAATCAGAAGAGAAAACAATTGAAAATTTTTGATGAAGCTAGTGTTATAGAAGATGGTCACAGTGATGGAGAACTTCTAGTTATTTTTTATGGCTATTCCAAACCTTGTGAGGATTGGGTTATTTGATTCAGCTTGTAACTAGTTTTCAACATATGAATAGTTTATAAATGTGTTATGATAATAGGAAATAATGCTCCTTATAAGATAGCTGGTATTGGAATGGTCAGAATTATATTTGATAGGGCTGTCAAGATAACTGGTGATGTTAGACATGCTCCAAATCTGAAGAAAAATCTTATCTCTTTTGGTGTTCTTGATTCAAAATGGTTTAAGTACGCTGGTGAATGTAAAATTCTGAAGGTTAGCAAAGGTGCCATTGTTTTGATGAAAGAGCAGAGAAGGTCTACGAAGTTATATGTTTTTTGGAATTCTACAATCACTAGTGATGTAGCTATTACTACTACTTTCTTATCAGATGATGATGTTACTGGACTATGGCACATTCGTCTTGGGCATATGATTGAGAATGGGATGGTAGAATTGAGACAGAAAGGACTTCTTGATGGACAAATACTAGTAAATTGACGTTCTATGATGACTGGATTATTTGATAAGTAGAAGAGAGTTACATACAACAAAGACATTCATAACACGAAGGGAATACTTGATTACATACATTTTGATATCTAGGGACCATCTAGGATGCCTTCCAAATGAGATGCTTAATATATGCTACCATTATTGATGATTTTTCCAGAAAAATTTAGGCGTTCTTAAAGAAAAAGAGTGATGTGTTTATTAAATTCAAGGAGTGAAAGATCATGATTGAGAAGCAGATATGAAAGTAGGTAAAATGTCTTTGAACTGATAATTGTTTAGAGTTTTGTTCAAATGAGTTTAATATTTTCTACAAATAAGAAAGAATTTTGAGTCACTTGATAGTTCGTAAGATTACACAACAAAACAGTGTGGTAGATCCCACGTATAGGACTTTGATGGAAAAGTACGTATGCTCTCCAATACTGTTTACCTAAGTCATTTTGGGCTGAACTATTTCGACTACCTATTTTCTCGTTAATCGTCCACTTTCAATAGCCATTGTTAGTCTGGTACTCTTGTTAGTTACTATGATTTGAATATATTTGGATGTCATGCATACACTTATGTTAATAATGAAAAATTGGAACCTATATGTAGAAACTAGTAATGATTTAGTCGCTAGAAATATAATCATTGAGATGAAAGTTCAATGCTTTGTAACTTACCTTCTGTAGATTCATGTGACATATATAAGCAAAAATCATACGTACAAGTGGAGTTTGAGATTGGTTTAGGGTCTATAATAGATCTACATCTCAGCCTAGCTCAAAAGTAAAGGGTAAAGTCGCTTTGTCAACGGCACCAGTGCTATCACATTATTATATTGCTAAAAATAGAACCAAAAAAGATATTAGACCTCTATAGAGGTACGGTGAGACTGAATTGATTTCATATGCCTTGAATGTGGCTGAAAGTATGGATTCGAGTGAAGAATCTTCTACCTATTCGGAGGTAGTAAGTTGTGACGATTCTGTTAGATGAATGATTCTCATGCAGGAGAAGATGTAATCATTTAATAAGAATGACACAAGAGATTTAGTGAGATTACCTAAGAATGAAAACGTTGTTTGTTTCAAATAGGTGTTCAAAAGGATAGAAGGAACATCGGGTGTTGAAGAAGTCAGGTATAAGATAAGACTAGTTGCAAAGGGATACAGTCAAGTTCTGGGTACAGACTTCAGAGATGTATTTTCTCTATTTGTAAAGTATAGTTTGATCCGAGCTTTGCTTGATATTGTGACCATGCATGATTTTGAGCTTGAGCAGTCCGATGTAGAAACAACATTTTTACATGGAAAACTTGTTGAGGATTTACGTGTAGCAGTTAGAAGGAAGACTATGCGTGCTTGCTGAAATAGTCCATTTGTGGCGTGAAACAGTCTTCCATACACTGGTATAAAAGGTTCGACTCTTTTATGAAAATTCATGACTTCAAAATAAACAGTTATTATAGTTGCATCTATTTTAAGAAGAGTGATAGCGAGTCATTTTTATACCTACTCTTATATGTTGATGATATGTTAATAGCTGCCAAGGATAAGAAAGAGATAAGAAAGGTCAAAGTCAAGCTCAATAATGAATTTGAAAAGAATGACTTAGGAGCAACAAAGAAAATATTTGGAGTGGGATTCTGATAGAAAGAAAAGTAGTTTAATTATACCTTAGTCAGAAAGGATAATCAATAATGTTCTCTATAGGTTTAATATGCAAAACGCCAAACTTGTTCGTACTGCTTTAGTAGCTTATTTCAAAATTTCATCTACTTTATTTCCATAATCAAATTATGAGGTTAATCATACGTCACGAGTTCCATATTTTAGTGCAGTGATATCTCTACTACCGTTTGCTCACGTCCAAATTTATCATATGCAGTTAGTGAAGTCAATAGCTACATAGCAAATCTTGGTAAAGAACATTTAAACAGTTCAGTGAATTTCAGATACCTGTGTGGCTCTACTGATATTTGTTTACATTTCGGCAGAACTACAGATAGAGCTAGTGTATATGTCGATTATATTTTACTAGAGATCTTGGTAAGAGGAGATTTCTTACAGAATATGTTTTTATTATTTGTAGTCATGCCATCAGTTGGAAAGGTGTTTTACATACTACAATTGCATTGTCTACTAAGAGGCTGAGTACATGGATATTACAGTGGTTTGTAAGAAAGCTATTTAGTTAAAAAGGACTATTTGGTGAACTCAATAAATACTTGCAAATTATTACCATAAATTTTTGGGATAGTCAAAGTGCTATTTTTCTCACAAAAGATAAGATGTTTCATGATAAGAAGAAGCACATTCACATTGATGTGTGGTATCATGAATCATTTTGAGCATAATATTATTGCTCGTGGTGCTATTGTAGAGAAAAGTCAACACCTAATATAAAGTTGCTGATATGATGATCAAGTCACTTCCTGTAGACATTACATAGACATTGTTGGCATTCGTTGCTAAGTTTTCCCTTAGGGGCTGTTGTGGAAGAGGTGGAGAGCTTTAGTTGAAGAGTGAAGTTTTATTCATTTGTGTTGACTTTTATGTTAAGGTAGAGATTGTTAGAATACGGTGATCTGAATTTTGTTTGGCTCAACCCAAAATATTGCAGTGCAACATATGCGGTGAAATCAAATTTATGAGAATTATTAGGGATTTGTAGTGGTAGCAGAGAGATGTATGCACTTATTTTATTATTCTCATGCCCTATATAATAATATATGATAC